GTTTTGTTCACATAACGGTTGTTTGTAAGTCCTAAAACTAAAAGAGTCAGATATAGGGTTATATATACCAAAGTGATCAGGGTGACGAGTAGAGTCCGTCTGACGGACAGACCATGGTTATTAATAAATATGATTCTTATGAATGTAGCATTATTTTAAACATATTTTGCTTGTAAAATGCAGATTTGCAACATTTTGCAATTGTGTCAAACCAATAAAACAGTATAGTATATATACAATAGTTTTATTTTCGACAATTAATATGTGTTTTTGTTTTCTAATCCCGAAATTTAAAAGGCAACCATTGGCTGCCATATAAACTGAAGGAACGAAATAAAGCGCTTTTTAATTTGACGAGATATTTTCAAGTAATTTGTCAAGCTGTTATATTCCAACCTCGTGTCATTATAGCATATAGCTGCCATACAAACTAATCGACCAAAGTTCTTGTAAGGAATGTTTATAATATGTCCGTCCGTCTGTCCGTCCGTCCGTGCAAGCTGTAACTTGAGTAAAAGTTGAGATATCATGATGAAACCTGGTACACGTATTTCCTGGCACCATAAGAAGCTTAAGTTCGAAGATGGGCAAAATCGGCCCACTGCCACAAAATGGCGAAAACCGAAAACCTATAAAGTGTCATAACTAAGCCATAAATAAAGATAATAAAGTGAAATTTGGCACAAACGATCGCATTAAGGAGGAGCATATTTGGACGTGATTTTTTTGCAAAAGTGGGCGTGGCCCCGCCCCAACTAAGTTTTTTGTACATATCTCGGAAACTACTATAGCTATGTCAACCAAACAGAGTTGTTTCATTCAAGCATTTCCATATACAGTTCAAAAATGGGAGAAATCGGATAATAATCACTCCCACCTCCCACACAAAGGTTATGTTGAAAGTCACTGAAAGTGCGTTAACCGACTAACAAAAAACGTCAGAAACACTAAATTTTACGAAGAAATATCAGAAAGAAGCTGCATTCATACTTTCTTTAAAAATTGAAAATGGGCGCGGCGTCGCTCACTTATGGCCCAACAACCATATCTCAGGAACTATTCCTCCGATTTCAATGAAATTCGGTACATAATAGTTTCTTAACACCCTGATGACATGTATGAAATATGGGTGAAATCGGTTAACAACCACGCCTTCTTCCAATATAACGCTATTTTGAATTTCATCTGATGCCTTCTCTTCTCTAATATATACATTAGGAACCAATGATGATAGCGGAATAAAACTTTACACAAATACGGTATCCTTGAGGTATCCCTTGTGGAAAAATTGCCGTGATCGGTCCATAACTTTTCAAGGTCCTGATATGGAACACGAAGAACTCAGTGCCTAACCTAACCTAACCTAATTTTTCACCGAAATATCGGAAAATCTCTCAGATATTTTCATGTAATTCAGAGGGTATGATTTTTATACTCTCGGAATAAAGTTGCTAATAACGGTATATATCGTCACATATATATTCACATATACCAAAGTTATCAGGGTGACGAGTAGAGTTGAAATCCGGATGTCTGTCTATCCGTCCGTGCAAGCTGTAACTTGAGTAAAAATTGAGATATCTTGATGAAATGTGCGAGAGTATAAAATGTTCGGTGACACCCAGGCTTTCTTTAAAAATTGAAAATGGGCGTGGCGTCGCCCACTTATGGMCCAAAAACCATATCTCAGGAACTTCTCCTCTGATTTCAATGAAATTCGGTACATAATAGTTTCTTAACACCCTGATGACATGTACGAAATATGGGTGAAATCGGTTCACAACCACGCCTTCTTCCAATATAACGCTATTTTGAATTGCATCTGATGGCTTCTCTGTATAATATATACATTAGGAACCAATGATGACAGCAGAATAAAACTTTACACAAAGACGGTATTTGATGCGAGAGTATAAAATGTTCGGTGACACCCGAACTTAGCCCTTCCTTACTTGTTTGTTCTTTAATTTTGTGTGTGTCTAATGTTGGTTGTCCGGCGTACAGAAATATGTGGGCAGGTCTGTCCAGTAGTGCCATGATTGATTGTGTAACGGATATATTTCTTTTTGCTCAATTTAAGTTCATTATTGTTTTTTTATAATATTTTTCTACAATCTACTAAATAAGCATGTTCATCGAATTAAAGTTTGTCTTGAATCAAAATGGGAAGAAGGACTAGGTTATCATATAATTTTGCAGCATTTAACTGATTAGTAAAGAAATAAAATATGTGATATATTGAGCCTTTCTGCAACCCTAAATAAACTGAATTTCTAACTGGAAGAATCACAATTTTTGGTTTATCCAAGTTCGTTTCAGTTATTTCCGACTGATATTTGTTTTATAAAAGTAGCTGGGTCATTTTTCGAATTCGACGACTTGACGAGCTAAGCTGATTTAGCCATATCCTTTTGTCAGTATGTACGCTATCGATCTAAACACGTCTTTTTCTCCTCAAAAGGCTTTTGGGCCACTAGCATATAGCTGCTTATTGCTCAAAATCGAATCATTGTATGGAAAACTTATTTTATTCGACAGAATATCTTAAATAAAATTTGGCATAGATTATTGCCTAAGCCAATGCTATAATATTGTATTCGTATTTAGATCGGATAGCTGTCATACAAACTTACCTATCAAATTCAGTTCTTGTATGGAATTTTTATTTTATTTTTATTACATAGCATATATTTATCTGAACGAAACTCATCATTTCTTGCAGAACTATAGATATTGCCTTTCCGTTCAGCCCTTAACAATGTTAAGTGGCTCCGTTTGGATTCGAAAATTACATTTTACCTTAAACATAAAATTTTTAAAAACAGCCTGCAAAATGATCACAGCAAGTAAGTTAACTTACGATGGCGGTTTTTAGCATCCGCTAGCCACCTAGAAACTAACGCGATTTTTATCATTTATTTACTGAATCGCGTTAGAAAGTGCACGCTAAGACCAAGTCATGAAATTAGACAATAATCCAATATTATATTTTTCGAAAAAATAAGTACAATACTGATATGTCTTCAAAACTACTAGTTAATAGAAATCCGCCGACTATATGTACCATTTGATCGATACGACTTAATCTGCATAAGTGCATATAAGCACATGTTAGAGTGAAGAATGGCTGTAAGTTAAGTAGTTGTACTCACTTTTTTCTTGCAATTCTTCTATTACATAGTCGTCAAATAATTTTAATTGTCAACAAAATAGTTATTCGTAAATGAACTATGAAATTGCTTCAATTGCACGGCCTTATCAGATATTGTCGAGCTCCGAGTATACGGCACTGAAATGTTTACATACTATACATTCATACAAACAAGTGATACTCGCGAGTTGTTGTATAAACAAAAATCGCGTAATCGTGAGCGCAACACAAGTCTCTTGTAAAAATTTTTAAAGCGGCGAGAGTGAGATTAAATTGGGAGTGTGAGCTATTACTGTTTTAGACCTCAATTCGCAAATTTAATTAATTATTTTATGGTTAAGCTGTAGAATGTAAGTATTTATGTACATATATGTAGAAGAGGAGTGTATGTGTGCCAATTCATGCTTAACGCCGTCTGAGTTGTGATGACAGCTTAAAATGTACACATGTATGTACATATGTACATAAGAATGTATGCGTAACCGCCAGCCAAGCGTGAGTCAGTAAGCCCGCTTTACTTGCAACTTTCCTTACTTATTGCATATGCATGTATGTACATATATACATACTTATATTCGTTCAATTCCAAGTAATGTAAAGCTGAATCGCCTCAGCTTTAGCAACAAAACCAATAGTATTTGTATATTTAGAAGTACCGCTTTTGTAATTATAAAAACACATAACTATGAATCACTTTTATAAGTAAGTTTCAAGCAGATGACTAACAGATATTTTTCACTTTTATAGCCGAATGTATGTTATTTATCCTCTGCATAAACCACATTTGTTGCCAAGTTCTCATACAAATATCTTCGGCTGATAATACACAAAAATAAATATAACATCTTTTAAATAAAGCTCAAAGGAAACAAAATTTCCATTCAGTGATAAGAAAATTGATAATTTTTTATTAAAATTCCGGTCGGTTGTGTATAAAACTTTGATTGGTATAACTATTAACTTACTTAAAAACACGTTGGTAATTTTTTGAAAATTCATAAGATTCTACACGAAATTCAGTATTTTCGTTCTTGTGAATGAATTGCAAGCGCGGAAATACTATGACTGCAGTATCAGCAGAACACGAACCGAATGCGTTGACATTATAACGACAATTGAGCGAAGAAAGAGAAACGATTAAGTAGTCAGTAAGCATGCGAGTCGTAGTTAGTCCCAACGACATCAATAACACGATCGCAAGCAATACTAATGCCGACTCACATACATACATATGTTTGTCTATGCTTATGCTTATTTATACACGTTTGTATTTTTGTGTGATATACATATGCATATCGATTATTTGCCGCAAGATTGACATAACTCGAAAATAAAAATGTAAGAGAATAAATATAACTTTGAGATCTTGCTTCATTATGACTGGTACTTAGTTGGGGGAGTGAATTATTGTTGTTGCTTATAGGCAAATGACTTGAATTGCTTTAATTAAAACATTACAGAAATATTATTTATAAGCATGTATGTATGTACAGTTGTTGTATCCAACTTAAGCTATTTTCACGCCATCAAACATTTTATTATCAACTTCAGACGTTTTGTTCCAAGAGAATAATGTCTACATACATATGTACATACATTGAAATTAAATAAAACTACTAATTAACAATGGGTTCGACATGCTGCTTTAAAAGTCAACTATAGTAATAATTGAGTATATAAATACATATGTATTTATGTACATATAAGAGAATATACATACATACGTATGTACGTAGTGTAAGTTTGTAAGTGGTATCTTATCGGAAAGTAAAAACGCGACTGTCACAGATCGGTTCTGTGAGGAGTGTTACTGGCATACCAAAATTGGGCGGCGCCTTAACATCGACGCGGCAACTTTACGTTAAATTCTCACTAAAATTAGTGCAAAATAAATAAAATGAAAAACGAATTAAATTATTAATAATACTTTCATTCATTTGTACAATCATTAAATATCAGGTGTCAATAAATTTTTTTATAAAAATTACTTCTTATCGCTCTGACAAAATCGAAATTTTCAACCCTCAGCGTTGCCGCCGTTATTTAGGGATGCGCCATACAATTATGGGCATGAAGAATTATGTATGTGTATAGTACTATTGAACATGTACATATGTATATAGATACATAGCGTTGCGCGTTTGTGTGCAGAACATATTCACGCATGCATTTGCGCATGCATATGCATGTGAACATCGATTATAACTGCAGACCGTTAAAATTATGTGATAATTAGCTTCTCCCCATCATACATATCCTTTCCCAATATGTATATATCATACATACATATGTACATATCTACTGGAGTGCAAATATCAATAGATGGGCTGGGTAGTAATATTAAATATAAGAAGGCAATATTTTAAATTTTGATTTGTAAAAATATTTTAGTACAACTGAATATGTTATATATAATATTTACCTACATTTATCTGTATATGTACATGCAGATACATACATATGTATATGGTATGATGATCGAACGCCGGTTCATTCAGTGAAGAGCACTCACTAGCGTTAATTCATACATGCATATATGAGCATGTATTTACGCATATGGTTGTGTTACTCTACGCATTGCATGATACGAAGACTGATAATACTATATTTTTCTTATCTTCTATTTTTACCTTCTTACATACATATGTATTTATGTATGTACGTACTTATATTCAAGAGTTAACTTATTACATTAACTTATATGTGATATATTATAGCTACAAATATATACATGTACCTTGGGGTGTTTTTTTTTTTGAACTATTAATTTTTTTCAGTCCCCTTACGAAATTTCCTTGGAAATAACCTAAACAAAATTCCTTGAAAATTAAAAATGAAAAGCCGAATATCTCGAGAAGTATTAATGATAGCCATTTTGACCTCGAACCTTTTTTATAGCAAATAAAATTTCCTACAAATTTGTCATGTACATATATTTTTTCTATAGCTCTTTTAATTTACGAGATATATCCAAAAAAATGCGAAATTCTTGGAAAAAGCGGGTTTAGAGCCCCGTACTATCTTGCTGGTGTGAATTACGACTTTGTTGCACTGGGCACTTTTGTAGAGTGAACAGTTCTGAGAAATATGCGTCTAAAGTGAAAGCCATGCCATAAAATACCTCCGATCTGTATTAATTTAAAGATAAAAACTCACGATTGTAGTGTATTTTCTACGGAAAGTTTTTATAGACTTTGGTCCAGTTCTTAATGTTAATATTAAGGGCTAAAATTTTCAGGGAATTTTCTTTAGGGTATTTTGAAGCAAATTTCGTGACGGGACTGAAAAAAATTAATAGTTCAAAAAAATATGTATATATGTATATTCTGAATATTTAAGTCAAGATTAATGTTAACCTGTAATAGCCTTGGACAGTGGGCCAATCATCCATTTATGGAAAATACTTCAAAAAACTAAATCGTCCTGAATTACCTGCTTATACTTATAAAAAATTTACTATGTTTGGCTTTAAAAGACAAATTCTAATACCTTTATTCACCTGACGATTGTTTGTACACCTTAAATACATGTATACAGACGTCCCAGATATATGCGTGACTGCCATCCGTCCGTAAAAACGATAACTTGCGCATGTGTATTGGTAATCTCAGCGCCGGCTCGAAACAGTTTACTACTCTAGGCAAACGTTAAATTCTGCACCCGTTCTAAGCCTATTTTATCTTAACAACAAAATTTATAAACTTTTAAAATTAATAAGGTTGTTTGATTAAAAAGGAAAAACGCATTTGACGTTACGAATTTCAACTATTTTCAGTATCAGTTCCAGTTTAGTACCTAAAAAATTAAGATTTGTTATTGCTGACGAAAATGCCGTATGTTTTGACTTTTATTACGATAACAATATGTTGGGGCTAGTGCTGCGCATATGAATGGGTCATTGTGAGCAGTCAAATCCATTTGAGCTCCCTAAAATCAAATAAGTCAATGTTTTACTGTTTATTAAATAGCTTTTAAAAAACGAAGCATTTAATTCTTTTTTTTCTAAATTAGATGTAGGAGCATTACGAAAAACTCTCTGTTTCCTTGTTGTTGGTCGCTATCAAGAATGTATGTTAAATAATCTGGCGCAGACTACAATATCTATGGTTTTTAGGAAGAGTTTAAAAGTTATGAACACCGTTTTCGTATGTTGTTTACTAACTTCTCGTTTTCTATTCAAGTTTTTCCGAAATACATAGGTGCAGTTTGATATTTTAGTGAACCCTACTGGCATAGGGTTGAAACCTGTAATACTACAAAAAAATTAAAGTTTAACAACACTTCAACTGAATTATTTTGGACGGATATCGATAGTTAATGATATTTAAAATATTTTATAATGATCAAAAATGGCTGTACAACTTTGCAACTAATTAATACTAAATAAAAATCCAAAAGTTTTAGTAACTTTTTCAACTGATTATATCGTTACCCAATTGAAGACAATGCAGAATCCATATGACAAAATAAAAACTAATTTTAAAATTTTGTTTAACATCGCGGATTTACTCATCTTCAGTGGCGTAGCTACCTAGGGGCTAGGCAGGGCAGTGCCCTGGGACCCTAAAGCTCAGGGGGCCTTCGAATCCTTATCAGAATTCTCAATCGAACTGAAACTTTTGAAATGGTTCAATTTTATTTCATTTTATCACTCGTATTTACACCCGTTAAGTCAATAAATTGTGTCAGAACTGTAGATTTCGGTTATAGCGACTCAAATAATGCGGTATTGCAGTTTTGGTTGTGAAGACTACAGAAGAAGATTCGGCAATTCTTGCATTTGGAGATACATCCGGCGTCGATTATGGGAACGTGGATCATCCACGTTTGCATGACACACATAGGAGCAGACGGTTTGGAACCACTGACCTCTACATTTTTCGAAAATGTGTACGACAAATTTTCTTATTACTTCGGAAACTTCACGAACAAAATATTAAGTGATAATGAAAAACTTCAAATTTTTGATATTGGGCCTTTACAGCCTTCAAGACCTTTTCCAGCAGACATCAACCAGGACAAAAGATGTTTTTCAAAACGTTATTATTTTTATTCTAAATATGATTTTCCGTCAGTTAATCATTTTTGGTTGTGTTATTTCAAAATATTAGATGCTGCCTATTGTCAACTATACTGGTTATTTGTTTCACAAAGGAATACGAGGTGTGTTCAAAAAGTATCGCGAATTTTTAATTTTCGCGGGTTAMGTATATTCGAATTTCGAATTTTTTGTGGCGTTATGTTGGTACTTATGTCTCTCACTTATGCCGACAAGCTCGGCCATTTTGAATGTTCATTTATCTGTATAAAATTTTGTGTGAAAAATGAAATTAACTGTGCATTCCGAATGTTGACTGTGGCATATGGAGAAGCTACCTTGGACCGAAGCAACGTTTATCGGTGGTACAAAATGTGCTCAGAAGGCCGAGAAGATGTGACAAAAATTGGCTTTTGCACCACGATAACGCCCCTGCTCACACATCGTTGTTTGTGCGCGAATCTTTGGCCAAAAACAACACACTAATGATGCCGCAGCCACCGTATTCCCCAGATCTGGCCCTCTGTGACTTTTTCTTGTTCCCTAAACTGAAGAGGCCCATGAAAGGACGACGTTACGCTTCTCTTGACGAGATAAAGACGGCATCGAAGAAGAAGCTGAAGAAGAAAAAAAAAAAATTATTTTTTGAAGTGCTTCGAAGATTGGTAAAACCGTTTGCAAAAGTGTATAATATCTCATGGGGATTACTTTGAAGGGGACAAAATAGATATTCATGGATAAATAAATAATTTAAAAAAAAACCCAAACTTCGCGATGCTTTTTGAACACACCTCGTAATGTGTAGTGTACGGGAATTCGAGATTGGAAGCATTCATCAGAAATATTTAAACAACACGGTTTTTCAAGTGGCTCTTCGGACATGCTTCCGAATGTGATGAATTTTCGAAAAAGAAACAAAACTAATACTATTGACAAGGAACTTTAAAATGAAATTCGCCAAGAAACATCATTTTGGAAAATGGTTCTTCAAAGAATATTCGATATCATACTTAGAGTAAGTAGCAAAGAGTTCTCTGACTTTGAGAGGACATCAAGAAG